AAAATATTCCAAATTGGAAATTTTCTATTGGATTTATGCAAATCTATGGGTATTTATAAAATAATATTTAGTGTTGGAAACACAACTTTTAGAAAACAATGGATTTTGAACACTAGTACAGTTTGTTGCAATATTTCTCTAAATTCATGTGCTCAACTTTGAACAGATATTAGTTATGTGGCATGTTTTCATGCTTTTTTTGTCATATTCACATATGAGTATCGGTAAATTACATGACAAAAAGATAATTGAAATATCTTAATGTATGCACATAAAATGTTGAAATTCATTCAGTCAACACCAAACAAAACAATTTTCATATTATTTGACCATTACGTTGTCTTTTTCCATCCTTATATTAACATACAAAACACAAGTAGTTTAAATAAATTGTGTTTCCCTTCAAAATTTTTACAACTCAAAAAAACATTTTACGTGTTACTATTTCCATCCGTCCCACTATGTCCACATGACAGTTAATGCGCCTTATTGGGAGCGGTGGCACAGTGGTTAGAGAAGGTGGGCCTGTGATCGGAAGATTGCCGGGTCAACTCCCGGTCCTGACAACATCAAAATGTGGGTGGGATAGGTGAAGCACCCACACCTGTCTCCACCCTCATTTGCCCCACTCTAGGCCCTTGAGCAAGGCCCTTAACCCCACCATCTGCTCCCCCGAGCACGCTATAGCAGCTCTGTGCTCCCCACAGAGGGCTGTGGTAGCTCGGTGGTCTGTGGTTGTGGCAGGAAGTGCATCCAGCGTTAAAATAATCGCCAAGTCTTCGTGCGACTTAGTTCTCTGTGGTGACGCCTGAAGAAGGGAGCAACCAAAAGAAGAAGACAAAAAAAAAAATTTGCCCCTCATTGCACGGCACAGCAATGAAATCTAGTAATTTTAATCAAGATTATACTAAACTGTATTTTTCCTTAACTATATTTAAAATTCCTGTCAAGGTCCAGTCTTTAATACTTTAAATTTCCAGGTTTATTCCCATAAAACCTGCAAATTCCCACAAAATGCATTTGTATTCACAGCTGACAAGATTTTTGCCGTCAAAAAAAATCTAGCACAACTGCAGCTACAATAAAACATGGAGGCTCTATTGAGGTTTGGAGCCACTTTGTTGCTTCAGCAACTGGGGACACCTTTTTTTTTTTCAAAGGAGGGATGAAATCAGATGATTTCCAGCAGCTTACAGCAAAATAGTGTTGTCCAGTTTCAGGAAACTGAAAAGAAGCAAAGGTCTGAAGAAATGGTATAATTTAAACATCCAAATGAGTAAAACAGTGGACTGCTGTGAGTCATAAATTCAGCTGAAAGCCTTTAGTGAGAACTGAAATATGCCAATGGAAAAAATTAAATCTGAAAAGGTTAAAAAGCTTGAAAGGACTGCAACAAAAGTGGTCCACAAACGGTCAGCAGTTTAGAGAAAGGAAATTAAATTATGAGATTCCTGTGCCACTTTAAAGGTTCTGCATAATAATGTGGAAGCTTTATTTACGACAAAATAAAACTCTTTTTGTTACAGTTCTATTGAGAAATGAACAAACTAAATTTTTTCAGTTATTTTCCAAAGAAACTGTCACTCTGCCTTCAAAATCGTCTCAATCTGACCAGCATTTTGTGAGCCAAAGACGCCGATTCCCCAAAGAAGCATTTCATGCGAAAACGGTGAACTGAGTCATCATGGTCCACCATGATGCATCCGTCCATTCCTTTTCCTCTCCTGTCTCCCTCTGAGCTCCATGAAATATAAACAGACATTCACAAAATGCAGCTCCCAGTCCTCAGAGACACATTTCCTCCAACATTTTCATCCTCTCCTTTCTCCTCTCTGCTCCTGTGTTTGCCTGCTTTGTGCTTTCATTTCACGCTCCCTCTTTCTTTCCCACTGCTCCTCTACTTTTCTCTCCCCCCACCCCTGTTTTCTTTTAGTCTGTATTTTTGCTTTGTGGGAGGTGAGGGTTTTAAATCACCCGTGAGATGCACAGTCTCCGACCTTCATGAATCACAGGATCTTGGACTTGTTTCATTTTCTCTCTTTATTCTCTTTTGCAGTTTTCCTTTATATTACCAGACCTTTTAAGTGGGGCATCCCCCCCCCCCCCCCCACACACACACCTCCAACATCATCCCTACCTGACTCCTCTCTCATCCTCATGCATTGTCCAGCTCGCCTCTCTGTTTTGTCTCTCTCAGCTGCTCTGTCTATTCGTTACAGAAGCTGTGTCTCATTTATAAAAGGTGTTCAGATTCACATGGCGCTCCTGAGGTTAAAACCAGCATAATTTTGCATTATTCTTCTTTTTCCTGATGTGTCAGAGGCTTAGGCGATTGTTTCTTCAATTATATTTTCCAAAAAGATTGCACAATCGAAGCTGACATGAAGAGTATCTATGTAAATTTGCTTCAATATGCTTCAGTGAGTCACCATGTCCTCTCATTTAACTCAGGGAAAGTGGAGAGCAGCTTACTGAGAGCTGTCGACCTGCTGAAACAGTCCTGCACGTGCACACACACACACACACACACCATCACACACACACACACACACACTCACACACACAACTCTGCACTTTTCAATAATGTCGCATGTCTTACCTAAGAGGCACAAAAACACTCTGAGCAGACAACAATTTTTCTGTGTGAATCTGGAGCATATAGAAAAGTGTGCTTGCGAGCTGCAGACTTAAAGCTATATGTTGCAGCTCTATTCTGTTGAATATTTTGGACAATCAATATCTTACTTGTTGTAGATTGATTTTCGAATGTCTTAAATCTGAAGATAAGTTTAATCCGACCGGACTGATGAGCTAAAAGCTAATTTGATCGGGACTAGGACTGAGGTGAATTATACACGTTTTAAATCAGCGGTGCATGTTATTTTTTACAAAAGTTTCAACATCAGTTTCTCATTACATGATCACTCATTTAGCAATTCAATTCAGTTTCATTATATAGCACCAAGTCACAACAGACGCTGCCTCAGAGCACTATTCAAAAACATTCATATAAAACAGTTAATAAAGTTATTTATCTAAAGAATAACAGGTCTTAGTAATAGTAATAACAGCTGTTATTGCTATGAACAGCTGTTATTACTATTAATAACAGCTGTTATTAATAATAATAACACCTGGTATCAATAGTAATAACAGCAGCATCAGCAGCAGCAGCTTGCTGTAGCACCTGCAGTGTAGCCCAAGGCAGTTCCAGCAGGAAGATCATAGTACAGTAGTCCCTCGCTACTTGATGGTTTGACTTTCGCAAACTCGCTCTTTGGCAGTTTTTCAAAGTAAGATTGTACACGGCACACGATTGTCAACTTTAATATCACTCATGTGATTGGGATAGTACTGGATACTGTACAGTAAAAAGTTAACAAAAAATAAAATATTTTGAACAGGCGCTGCCATTTTGTAGTTTTCTCTCAGTAAGCCTACACTGTATCCCTGCTTATAACAACTACATTTCCCATAAGCCAACAGTGCCCCACCCAGGAGCCTCATTGCCTTCTGCTAAAATACTAGAGGGAAAGTTTAGATCTGATCCAAATAGTTGGGTACTTATTCATACAGTGACTTCAGTTCCCAGTGGATGCAGAGAGCTGCATGGACCCCACCGGGAACCGGATCAGAACCGGAGCAGAACTAGACCTCCAGACTCATCAGTGAATCTGAGAGCTGCTTGCTGGCTCACGAGGACTTCAGAGCAGGGATGCGCCACTCGTTCGTCCAGCATTCTCTCCAGAGCCCACCGTTACTATCCTGAGCCAGAGAGCCGAGCAGAACCAGCAGGGTAGGTCTGCCAAAACAGAACCAAGTCGGACCGGAACCGAGCTGCTGTTGTTCTGCAGAGCTAGTAAGTAAAATTTAGTAGCTACATATACAGTACTGTACATATGTTGTTAAAATGACGTAGGTTTAAGAGTTTATAACATTGCAAGAGTGTGAGAAGAGTTTATAAAGCCTTAAAATATATATAAATACTAAAATAAACATAGCGTCCCTACTTTGTGGATTTTCACTTACTGCAGGGGGGTCTGGAACATAACCCCCACAATAAACGAGGGACTACTGTATTTTATTTACCCCCAAAAATTGTGCAATGAGAAAATTATGGCAAGTCTGTAGAAACTGTGGGGTGGTGAGGCTGCAACATCATCCTCTTGTTGCTGAGATGTAACGTGTCAAAAATAAGAAAGAATGGAGGAATGAATAAGTTAAACAAAAATCAAAAGTCCTATTATGTTATCGAAGTTTGTAGTCCAATTATAGTCTTATTAATGGAGCAATGAAGTTACTGTTTGGTCACCTCTCTGTTTGGGTCAGTGCAATTTATTTCACTTAACATGTTCTCACAGCACCATCAGTGTAAAATATGTTCCCATGGCTTTGAATGACGGTGGTTTATTAAACGCACTCAATAACAAATATGAAAGGTTTGAAAATGAAGTTGTTATCTGGTCTATCTGGTCACAATCTGAAGCCTTTCAAAGAGCTATCTACAATCTGTAAGATACTCATTACTCATAACCTTTCCACAGAATCCCACTTCAAAAGGGCAAATAGAAAATGAATATTATTCTCAGTTTAGACTCCTGAAAGCAAATAATTTGCAACATTTCTGAGATCTTCATTACGGCAATTCCTCTTCCAACTCTTCATTGATAAACACACAGACTCAAAGACAAAAAGCACATAAAGAAGCAAAGTCTCTGCATGTCTGCTTTCCTTCAAGTCCCTAAGTAAGAAGAAATATCTAGCAGGCATGAGAAGAAGCAGGTAGGAGGGGAGCAGGTGTGTGTGTTATTCGTACAGAGCCCCTGCAGAAACCAGCGCTGTGCTTGAGGATGTAAGTGCCGCTCTGAATGCTGATACACACAGCCAGAGGTGAGCTAGATGCGATGAAGATGGAGCTGGTAAATACTGGGGAGTCTGAGCGATGAGAAACAGACTGCCTGCCTGGTGGGAGGGTGGAGGAGGAAGCTCTTGTCTCTCACCTGCCAGAAGATGTTGTCGATGGTGTTGCCCAGAAATCCTTCTCTGTTGTCGGCCGACAGCAGCTTAGGCCCTAGTATCGTCATGAACTCCTCAAAGTCTACCTGGCCGTCCCCTGCAAGAGGACACGGGACAAAATAAAACCAGACTGCGAGACAGGAGCTCAGCAGAGTTACAGTAAATCTTGGGATATGTTCTTGAAAGAGACAGACAGCTCAACAGATGGGTGGGCTTTCATCTATAACTGGAGAAAGACCGTTTCTGTAAAAATGCAGTGTGAGTGCTGAGCGCTGAATTTTATTGAAGTAGCTGAAGATAAAATTCAATTCATTTCAATGCAGTTTATTTATAAAGCACCATGTCACAACAGAAGTCATCGCATGGCACTGCGCAAAAACATTCAGATACATTATAAAGGCAATTAGTAAAAGTTCTCTATCTAATGAAGCCAGCAGATTGTGTTGAATCTTCATTTCATCGCAGTCTCCCATCCTGAGCAAGCACAAAAGCAACAGTGGAAAGGAAAAACTCCCTTTTAGCAGAAAGAAACCTCCAGCAGAACCAGGCTCAGGACGAGCGTCCGTCTGCTTCAGTTTGCCAAAGGAAGCAGAACACTACCTAAAAGCTAAAAGCAGCTAAATGTTTAGCTGTTAAGTTAAAAGTTACTAAAGACTAGCTAAAAACTAAAAGTAATACTTTGTAGAAGAACAAATAAAAGCTGAAAGCAGCAAAATGTTAGCTATAATCTAAAAGCAGTAAAATATTTGCTAACAGCTAAAAGTATCAAAATACTTGGCAGCAAAATGTTAACTAAAAGTTGCAAAAGGCTATTTAGAAACTAAACCTAACAAAAGGCTAAATAAATGCTAAACAAAGCAAAATGCTAGTTAAACGCTAAAGATGCTAGTTAAAAGAACCAACAAAAAGTTAGCTAAGAGCTAAATTTGTCAAAATGCTAGGTAAATGAAGCAAAATATTAGCTTAAAGTTTGAAAGGCTAGCTAGAAGCAAAAAGCACCAAAAGGCTAAATAAACGCTAAAAGAAGCAAAATGCAAGCCAAAAGCTAAATATGCTGTTATTTGTAAGAAAAAAGTTATAGCTAAAAGCTAAAATGTTCAAAATTCAGGGTAAATGCAGTAAAATATTACCTACATGTAGCAAAAGGGACTAACTAATGAAACGCTAAAAGCAGCAAAATGTTAGCTATAATTGAAAAGCGGCAAATGATTTGTTAACATCTAGGAATATCAAAATTATTTTTAAATGCAGGAAAATATATTCTAAAAGTTACTAAAGACAAGCTAAAAACTAAAAGTAGTCAACAGAAGAATAAATACAAACTTAAAGCAGCAAAAGATTTGCTAACAGCTAAAAATTTCCGGTAAAAACTTCCGGTAAGATGGTGCCCGTGTACATGGCTTGCAATCCACCTCTGCTGATGGTGTTCGGATTATTTTTGTTTTTTGCATTTCACATCTGTGACATCAACTCTCTGCTTGTGTATGACAGACAATTTTTGGATCTTTGTTTTTCTGTCACTGAAGTCGCTTATTTTGACCATTATCAGCGTACCTCTGGACCCCCCCCCCCCCCCCTCCCCCTGCTGGCGGACGTGCCAGCTTACCTTCGCTGCGCTCCTCACCTCCCTGCCCGGAGATCTCGCTTCAGACGCCGGGGAAAACGTGCTGGTCAGCTGGTGAAGCTGAAAGCTCTGCGCGCTGCATCTTCCTCTTCAGCTGGCAGTCATGGTCTCCAGCTTCCCGCGTGCCTGGACCAGGTAACCAGCGGGAGTTGTCAGCCGTTGCGCAGCCCGGACCGACCTGGAGGGGCTGTTATTGAAAACCTGCGGCCATTAGCGCACACTAACTCCACCGCTGCTGGCTCCACTTTGGACAATATCCGGATGTGTTTGGTCAACGCAAGATCAGTTACCAACAAAACTTTTATCCTCAGGGATTACTTTCAAGAGCACGATCTGGACTTTCTGTGCATCACAGAGACTTGGATGTCTCCGGGTGAGTCCAGCGCCTTGACGGAATTACTGCCACCGAACAGTCTGTGTTTTAACGCCCCGCGGCCATCAGGCCGGAGCGGTGGTGGATTATTAACAATATTCAAATCAACTTTTGACTGTAAACAACTGCCCATCCCAGTTTCCCGCGCCAGCTTTGAGCTGAGCGTCTTTGAACTAGGACATTCACCTCTGACGTTATTTGCACTCGTCTACCGTCCACCTCGATCTAAGGATTTCTTAAATGAGTTTTCTGAATTCTTGGCTGAAATCACACCAAAATATGAGCATCTTTTCATTATTGGGGACTTTAATTTGCACGTGTGCTGTCCTCAGAAGCCCTTGGTTAAGGACTTTTTAGATTTATTGGACTCATTTAATTTAACTCAGCATGTAAACGGTCCCACCCAAGAGCGTGGACATACACTGGACCTTGTTTTAACTCATGATATGACTGTTAATAATCTTGTTATTGGTGATAATGTTTTTTCAGACCACATGCCAGTCCGGTTTGAGTTCACCCTCCCCCATCTAACTCCTAAGTCGTGCATTCCTGCACGTCACACTCGGACCATTAACCACTTCACTGCCGCACGTTTCACAGATGTTTATAACTCTGAAATGATCATTCAGCCCCCAATGTTTCTCACCACCACTGAGGAGCTGACATCCCAGTTCAACTCTGTTTTCTTAAAGACTCTGGATCATGTTGCACCTGTTAAAACCAAAAAAATCAAAACTCAGAGCAGAACCATGGCTGAGTGATGTCACCAAGGCCGTTAGGTAGCAATGTAGGAGGGCGGAACGAAAGTGGAGGAAAGACAGGCTGCAGGTCTCTTTCCAGATACTTAAAGAGAGTTGGCGCTGTTATCAGAAAACAGTAAAAGCTGCTAAATCAAAATTCTTCTCAGATATAATTACCTCAAACTCTCACAACCCACGTGTCCTCTTCTCCACCCTAAACTCTGTTCTCCACCTCACTGATCTATCACCTCTGGAAGTCTCGACTGAGCTGTGCGACAACTTCCTACATTTCTTTGTGGAAAAAATTGCGACCACCAGGGCTCTCATTTCCCCTCCAACTCATGACCCATCCGTCCCACCTCAATCTGTAGCTCCTTTTGACCATTTTGAACCCATCACTATCTTCTCTAGAGCAGGTCATGTGCAGCTTGAAACCTTCTGGTTCCCCCTTTGATGTGGTCCCCCCTCGACTACTAAAGGAGGTGTTTCCAACTCTAGGTCTGTCCTTTCTTGATATAGTAAACAGTAGTTTATCCACTGGCATGGTGCCAAAATCCTTTAAACATGCTGCTGTACAGCCTCTCCTGAAAAAACCAAACCTTGACCCCTCAGTCGTTTCCAACTTCCGGCCTGTCTCCAAACTCCCATTTGTTTCTAAAGTACTGGAGAAAATAGTCGAGTCCCAGTTGAAGTGCTTCCTGGAGGATCACGCCATCTTAGAGCTTTTCCAATCTGGCTTTAAACCTCTCCACAGCACTGAAACTGCCCTGCTGAAGGTCTTTAACGACATCTTCAGATTCACAGATACCGGTAATTCTGTGCTGCTTGTCCTGTTGGACCTCACAGCCACCTTTGACACCATCGACCATGAGATCCTCATTGCTAGATTGGAGCAGTGGGTGGGCGTCACAGCATCAGCCCTCAATTGGTTCAGATCTTACCTCACTGACAGATCCTTTTGTGTCTCCATCAAGGATTTTAGTTCCGCAGAGGCAGAGCTTAAATGGGGGGTTCTGCAGGGGTCCATACTGGGTCCCCTCCTATTCTCTTTATACCTGCTGCCGCTTGGTGCTATTTTCCGGAAACACAACATGCCCTTCCACTTCTATGTCGATGACTGTCAAATTTACTTCCCCCTAAGACACAATGGTACATGCTCTATTCAACCACTGCTCAACTGCCTGGCTGACATCAGGGACTGGATGGGTTTAAATTTCTTAAGTTTCAATGAAAAGAAGTCTGAAGTCATGTTGTTCCCTCCCAACGACACAATCACAAACCACTGCATCGACCTTTCCGCTCTAACCCTGTCAGAAAAACAAAGAGTCACTAATCTGGGCGTGATAATGGACCCTTCCCTGAAACTTAACAATCATGTAAACATGATTGTTAAATCATGTTTCTTCCAACAGAGGCGGCTGTCTAAACTGAAGCCCATATTGTCCAAAAATAACCTGGAGACAGTAATACATGCATTCATTACATCTAGGCTTGATTACTGCAATTCACTCCTGTTTGGTATCAGTCAGACCTCCATTGCACGACTACAACTGGTCCAGAATGCAGCAGCCCGATTTTTAACCAGTACAGGCAAAAGAGACCACATTACACCAGTTTTGGCCTCACTGCACTGGTTACCGGTTCACTTTCGAATCCAGTTCAAAATACTCATGTATGTCTACAAATCACTGAACAGTGTCGCCCCCCATCTCTCTGATTTGCTACAACCATATGCTCCCTGAGGTCAGCGGACCAGTTGCTCCTCACAGTTCCAGGAACTCGTCTTAAGCGCAGAGGTGACAGGGCCTTCTCTGTAGCAGGACCAAGACTCTGGAACGAGTTACCTCTGCTTGTCAGACAGGCCCCCTCCCTCTCGGTTTTCAAGTCCCATTTAAAAACTCACTACTATTCAATAGCTTTCAACACAAGATGATCTGTGTTTTGATCCTGTATGCTCTACACTGGTTTGTCGTCATTATCTGCATCGTTTTTTGTCTATATTCTGATTTACCTCATTTTGTATTTTGCTTTGTGTGTTACCTGTTGTTTTGTCTGTACAGCACTTTGGTTGGCCTTGTTGCTGTTTTAAGTGCTTTATAAATAAAGTGGTATGGTATGGTATGGTAAAAATATCAAAATACTTGGTAAAGGCAGCAAAATATTAACTAAAATTTGCAAAGTGCTATCAAGAAGCTAAAAGTAACAAAAGGCTAAATAAATGCTACACAAAGCAAAATGCTAGCTAAATGCTAAAGATGCTAGTTAAAAGAAGCAACACACTAGCAAAAAGCAGCAAAAGGTTAGCTAAAAGCTAAATTGTCAAAACGCTAGGTAAATAATGCAAAATATTAGCTAAAAGTTCCAAAGGCTAGCTAGAAGCAAAAAGCCCTAAAAGGCTCAATAAAAGCTAAAAGAAGCTAAATGCAAGCCAAAAGCTAAATATGCTGTTATTTGTAAGAAAATACTAGCGGAAAGCTAAGCAAAAGGCTAGCTAAAAGCTAAAATTATCAAAATTCAGGGTCAATGCAACAAAATATTACCTACATGTAGCAAAAGGGACTAACTAAAATCTAAAAGAAGTAAAAGGCTAGCTGAACCTGAAAGCAGCAGAGGAAAACAAAAGCAGGGCCAGTTTACTGAAGCAGTTAAAAAAAACCCAATGTTTTTGTAGGACTTGAAGTGATCTTGTGTAAGGAGAAAATGTACAAAATAAAATGTATATTTGGAAAATATGAAAGATGTATAAAAACTACGTCATGGAATCCATTTCTTGAATGAGCTGAATACTTTGACATGTCAGTGGCTAAAATAGTGCAAAATACACAAAAGTATTTATATTGCAAAAAATGTGAAAAACAAACAGACAGGAAAACAGTAGTGTGAACTCTGAATCATCATTCAGGGGACAAATATATCAAGAGCAACAATAATAATAATAATAAAACAAGTTTGCCTGCAGGCGTTCTTATTTTTGAGACAGCTGACAAAACATTTGACAAATTTGAATTCAGAAGACGGAGCTTTAAAATTCTGCTGCAGCATTAATAATATCCATCAACAGGCTGAACTCCTCCACAACTACAGGTGGATTTAAACTTGCATATGTTTACATTGTAATGCTGGATGTCATTGCAAGATTACAGTTTATTAAATGCTCTGTTCATTACGTTACACAAAGAAGCAGATGAGAGTAAGCAGCGTCATTAAGAGGATCTGTCTGTCTGCAAGTTCTATTTCATCAACTTGTAATTTGGTGCAAAATGTACTGAGCATTTAGAGAACACTGGTAATGAACACATTGTTTATAGCTGCTGTCTAATTCAGAGTTTTTGTAGTTGATGGTCAAAAGCTAATGTTTACTTGGACTGATGCTTCCAAAGAAAATACATTTTCTCTTCAATTGTTGCGCAGCTAAAATCTCAGAAAAGATCAAAAACTGACAGATGATAATAATCGTGTCTGTACTACAAAATGTTACATTGTGTGCATCACTGAACCTCAATGACTCGTCAAAAGAAATGTCACTCGGCAGTAACATAATTAAATCTTATTTAAGACTATTTAAGGCTTAAAAGCTGAAAGGATGATAATTCCAGATCCCAGAGGAGCATAAATTCCCAAGTGTGAGTTGAAAAGAAGTAAAATGCATCTGAAAACCTGTGCAGGTTGTGATACAGAGATTATTAGAAGACCGAGGAATACAAGGTTTTAGGAGAGATACTATCAGAACAAACGGCAGCACTGCTCTCAGGTGGTCGGTTACTCGTGGAGGCAAAAGCAAAAAAGCTTTTAGCTCTGACCTTTGAAATTTATGGCATGCTGTGAACTCAAAAGCCAAACGCAGTCAGATAAGGACCCGCTGAAAGACCGAATGGATTGTTTCTGATGCGGGCGCTGCCTGCGAGTAACTGCAATCTTTCAGGAATTTACATGTGGAGCTTATGATGAAATAGAAGGAGCAGATAGGCTTGTTTTTGATCGTTTCAGGGGAAATTTGTTTTTTGACAGCTGACCACCTGGCGCTCTTCAGACCTTTCAGAAACCAGAGTAAGGAATCATGGTTGAAGAGAAACGTGATGAAATCTTGTTTTAAGTGAAAGAGGCCAGTGTTTTTATTCAAATTCAACACTAAAACATGCAGCTAGCCAGATGTCTTGTTAAGGAAATTATTTATTTTTTGGATGGTGGACAATATATATTAATTTACAACAAAAGTAAATTAACATTGCACACATTTATATGGTCAACAGTGAACTGTCGTTCCTCGTTGTGTGAACGTTCATGAAGCATCCACACTACTGTGTCCCTCTTTGTTTATGTATGTTTTTCAGCATCTTTCTCATTCCATAAGTTTTGTGCTACTTCAACAAATCATAAAACAAAACGTTCAGCTCTTTCAGGACAAGGGTGCTATGACTTTTGGTATTGGTGCAACTTTAGCGTTTTGAAATATTTAGCCTTTTCTGCCATTTGTTTCCTCATAGGAAACTAATTGAGCTCATTTTACAACATTTTACTGCTCCTTTCACATTTTGTTCTGGTTCAGCTTCTTTCAGCTTCCTTGTGCAAATTTAAACATTTTTTCAGCTACTTTCAGCTGTTTTGTGCTCTTTTAAGCTTTTTTTCTGCTAACTGAAACATTCTTGTGCTTCTTCTAACTTCTTTCTGCTAATTTCAGCTCGTTATGCTCCTTTCAGCTTATTTCTGCAAGTTTAAGCTTTTTCTGCTATTTCCGCTACTGTTTTAATGCTAATTTTAGCATTTTCATCTAACTCCATATTTTTGGCACTCTTAAAAAAAAAATTCAGCTTAATTTAGCCTAAAAATGTGCTCTCTGCACTTCCTTCTGATAATTTAACCATCTTTCTGCTTTTTCAGCTACTTTTCAGCTATTTTTGTTTTGCTAATTTCAGCTTTTTTCCCCAGATAATTTTCACTATTTTGTACTCATTTCTGCTTCTTTCAACCTAATTAGCTACTTTGTGCTATAGCTTGTTATGCTCCTTTCACCTTTTTTTCTGCTAGTTTCAGCTTTTTCTGTTATTTTAGCTACTATTGAGCTGTTTTATGCTAATTTCAGTTTTTTCAGTGAAATTTGTATTTATTTATTTAGCTCATTTCAGCTCTTTACACTTCCTTCTGGTAGTTTAAGCTTCTCTCTGCCTTTTCAGCTACTTTTCAGCTGTTTTTTGGTGCTAAATTTAGCTTTCTTTGCTAATTTCCTAATTTTTGTGCTAATTTCTGCTTATTTAAACATAATTCAGCAAATATGTGTTCTTTCCGTTTTCTTATGCTAATTTAGGCCTGTTCTTCCATTTCAGCTACAGTTCAGCATGTTTTTGGCTAACTTCAGTTGTTTTTCTGCAAGTTCTTCAGCAATAAGCATTCACACTGCATTATCACAGGAAATGTAATTCCTCTAGTTTTGTTTTGTCTTTGGCCTGTGCACATGCACCCAAGTGTGTGTCCTTATGTAGTGTCTCACCGTCCATGTCCAGTCTCTGCATGATGATGGCCAGCTCCACCTCACTGGGCATGTAACCCAGTGAGCGCATGGCCATCCCCAGCTCCTGTTTGGAGATGAAACCGTTCCCATCTCGATCCAAAACTCGGAACGCCTCGCGGATCTCTGTACAGCAAACACACAACATGTCAGCAAACATAGCTGCCCATCTCTGGGACTCCTTTCAGTTTGAGCTTGGAGAATAGTACACTTAAAATCAAGGAAAAGGTGGATTTTTAACTGCTCTGTGCAACCAGATGAAGAATATAAAGTGTGGTAAAGACTGATTCTTGTTTGTTCTCATCTGACAGTATCTGACTGATGAGGCTACAAGAAAATTTCTTCAACTTCCTGTTTTGATGTACAAGTTAATCTTTCATTACAGAGAATTAACTCACTCCTTTGTCTTTGTTCTATTATCCCAAAAGGCCACAACTGCAACATAATTGACTGAGTGATCGTTTTGTTTGTTGTTTTGAGTGTTGTGTGAGCTAATGAGGTGCATTTTTCCTCATTAATTTAATTTAATTATTTTGTTTTGGGGGACTCTGACTCTCCAAAGCAATTTTCTAGCTAGTCCAAAAGTTTTTGTGGTAATTCTAATTAATTCTGATTACTTGTTTTTTGGCTTTTTTTCTCAAAGTTTTTGTAGATTATGTTTGTTTTGCGTCCCTGTGATGGACTTGCGACCCGTCCAGGGTGTACCCCGCCCCTCGCACAGTGATTGCTGGACATGGGCACCAGCGACCCCCGTGACCCAAAATGGAACAAGCGGGTAAAGAAAATGGATGGATGGATGGATGTTTGTTTTGCTGCATATGGTCTCTAATTTCATTGCCAGTGCTTTTTTTAGACTACAAATTTTCACAATGAAAAACACCCCAAATATACATAAGTTATTATGATGATGATGACGATGACAGTTATTATTGTTGTTGTTGTTGTTGTTGTTGTTGTTGTGTTTTAATGGCAAAAACAGTATAAAAAGACAATGATGTTTTTGACTTGCATAAATAAAATGTGACATAAATATACATCCATCCATTATCTTTTACCCGCTTCTTCCATTTTGGGTCATGGGGGTTGCCGGTGCCCATGTCCAGCAATCACTGTGCGAGGGGCGGGTACACCCTGGACAGGTCGCAAGTCCATCACAGGGACAAATAGAGACAAACGAGACAAACAATCATTCACTCTCTCACTCACATCTAGCGACAATTTTAGAGTTACCAATCAGCCTAACATGCATGTTATTGGTCTGTGGGAGGAAACCGGAGTACCCGGAGAAAACCCACGCATGCACAGAGAGAACACCCAGAAAGGCCCCTGGATCAGGATTTGAACCAGGGACCTGCTCACTGAGAGCCGGCAGCTCTACCAGTTGCGCCAACGTGCTGCCATAAAATAAAAGAAATATATATATATATATACATTTATATGTGTGTGCGTGAATGTATACATGTACTTGCATATACAGGTCCTTCTCAAAAAATTAGCATATTGTGATAAAGGTCATTATTTTCCATTATGTAATGATAAAAATGAAACTTTCATATATTTCAGATTCATTGCACACCAACCGAAATATTTCAGGTCTTTAATTGTTTTAATACTGATGATTATGGCATACAGCTCATGAAAACCCAAAATGCCTGTCCCAAAAAATTAGCATATTTCATCCCACCAATGAAAGACAAGTGTTTTTAAAACAAAAAACGCCAACCTTCAAATAATCATGTTCAGTTATGCACTCAATACTTGGTCGGGAATCCTTTTGCATGAATGACTGCTTCAATGCGGCGTGGCATGGAGGCAATCAGCCTGTGGCACTGCTGAGGTGTTATGGAGGCCCAGGATGCTTCGATAGTGGCCTTAAGCTCATCCAGAGTGTTGGGTCTTGTGTCTCTCAACTTTCTCTTCACAATATCCCACAGGTTCTCTATGGGGTTCAGGTCAGGAGAGTTGGCAGGCCAATTGAGCACAGTAATACTATGGTCAGTAAACCATTTACCAGTGGTTTTGGCACTGTTAGCAGGTGCCAGGTCGTGCTGAAAAATGAAATCTTCATCTCCATAAAGCTTTTCAGCAGATGGAAGCATGAAGTGCTCCAAAATCTCCTGATAGCTAGTTGCATTGACCCTGCCCTTGATAAAACACAGTGGACCAACACCAGCAGCTGACATGGCACCCCAGACCATCACTGACTGTGGGTGCTTCACACTGGACTTCTGGCATTTTGGCATTTCCTTCTCCCCAGTCTTCCTCCAGACTTTGGCACCTTAATTTCCGAATGACATGCAAAATTTGCTTTCATCCGAAAAAAGTACTTTGGACCACTGAGCAACAGTCCAGTGCTGCTTCTCTGTAGCCCAGGTCAGGCGCTTCTGCCGCTGTTTCTGGTTCAAAAGTGGCTTGACCTGGGGAATGCGGCACCTGTAGCCCATTTCCTGCACACGCCTGTGCACGGTGGCTCTGGATGTTTCTACTCCAGACTCAGTCCACAGCTTCCGCAGGTCCCCCAAGGTCTGGAATCGGCCCTTCTCCACAATCCTCCTCAGGGTCCGGTCACCTCTTCTCGTTGTGCAGCGTTTTCTGCCACACTTTTCCCTTCCCACAGACTTCCCACTGAGGTGCCTTGATACAGCACTCTGGGAACAGCATATTCGTTCAGCAATTTCTTTCTGTGTCTTACCCTCTTGCTTGAGGGTGTCAATGATGGCCTTCTGGACAGCAGTCAGGTCGGCAGTCTTACCCATGATTGCGGTTTTGAGTAATGAACAAGGCTGGGAGTTTTTAAAAGCCTCAGGAATCTTTTGCAGGTGTTTAGAGTTACGTCGTTGATTCAGATGGTTAGGTTAATAGCTTGTTTAGAGAACCTTTTCATGATATGCTAATTTTTTGGGACAGGCATTTTGGGTTTTCATGAGCTGTATGCCATAATCATCAGTATTAAAACAATTAAAGACCTGAAATATTTCAGTTGGTGTGCAATGAATCTGAAATATATGAAAGTTTCATTTTTATCATTACATTATGGAAAATAATGACCTTTATCACAATATGCTAATTTTTTGAGAAGGACCTGTAAATGTTTGCAAATTAATTTCTAGTCATTGTAATATGAGATATCTCTATTGATAATATTGAAAATAATGCAAATACCACGGCTGATTTTTCCTCCTCAGAGCAATTTACATTCCCTAAATTATTTGATTGCTCAACTGAATCCATCTAGAGAGAAAATAATCAGACATATGATGCGAAATCAATATGAGAATGCATTTCAACAGTCCATCTGCTCGCACGATTGTTCCTCTGGAAGAAAACGCCCACTCACTTACGGCAAAATCCACACAAATACAAAAATCAGCCACACTCTGATTCTTTTCTCCTTCATCTGTCACTTCATGTTAAATTCTACCATTTTTTTTAGATTGCATAGCTTTTTCTCCACCCAACTTGTGAAATCAGTGATTGTTGTCAAATAGATAGACACGCGAGCTGACTGAGAGAGTTTTTAGCAGAAAACTTTCATCTGATGGGCTCCACTGCTCCCATTGTCTGAGTGCAAGAAGAGGAATGACATCAGGACAGACAGGTATGTGGGTTGATAGATGGACTGAGGTGATGGTGGGAGAGCCAGGGCTAAAAGGAGCAAAAGAAACTGGGCTGACTGACAGTGTTTGAACCTGGGTGACACCTGCATACCCAGGAACCCAGTTTGGAGTCTGCAGTGAGGTGTTGAGAAAAAATTAAAACCCAGAGGAGAAGCTCAAATGAAGGAAAGAGCTGAGATGGAGCCAAAAGTCTGGACAGAGGATTTTTTTTTGCACTTTTCACACATTTTCCCCATGGAGAAAAATGCATTACCAGATTGGCAGAAAGGGGTCACATCAGTTATTTTGTTCCCAGCAGCCCATCCACAGCCCAAAACTAGACAGTCCTAATAGGATAACAGCAGAATCCTGTGTTAGATCACAGGAAAACACACTGTTCCTGTTTAACCACAAACATAAAGCAAACGTGATTTAACTTCATCCAATGCTTTTCCCCCCTGCTTTTGAGCTCCAAAGGACAAAGATAAGAGATAAATCATCACATAAACCTGTTTACTTGAAGTCACTGAAACATAAGGCTGCTCTGCATGTCGCCTCCACTTTTAGAATGAAGTCTTGCAGCCACCTGACAAAAACAATATGAGCCCTCCATTGATCAGCACAGTTGGATGATAAACTGCTTCTCTGTGATCTTTCATGCAAAAACCACAATGGAACCAAATAAAATGAAAAAGTGGGGCTGGAGTATATTTTATGGATCAAAGGAGAGCACATGTTACAACCAACAATAAGGTCACTTCTTGTTAGATTTACTGATTTGAATTAAAACTAAAATAACGAGAGAAATTGCATTTCCTGTGAAATTGCAGTGTGAATGCTTATTGCTGAAGAACTTGTTGAAAAACAGCTGAAATTAGTTAAAAACATGAAGAAATGTAGCTGAAATTACGAACAAGCCCAAATTAGCAGAAGAAAGCAGAAAGAACATATTTATTGAATTAGTTTTAAATAAGCAAAAATTAGCATAAAAATTTGGAAGTAAGTTAAAAAAACTGAAATTAGCAACAAAAAAAAAAAAATAGCTGAAAAGGCAGAAACAAGATGAAACTACCAGAAGGAAGTGGAAGAGCTGAAATTAGCTAAAAAAATGTGGAGGAAGCTGCAAAAGCTAAGCTGAAATAGAAGAAAAAACTGAAACTAGAAGAAAAAAGCTAAAAGAAGCTTAACAAGCTGAAATTAGCAGAAGTAACTTAATTAGGCTGAAAGTAGCAAAAGTTACCATGAAAAACTTGAATTTACCTGAAAACAGCTGAAATCAGCTAAAAATGCTTTAAAACATAGCTAAAAGTGTAGAACAAGTTTAAATTATCATAAGAAAGCAGAAATAACATGTTTACCCAATTAGTCTGAAAGAAGCAGAAAGTAGCACAAAAATAAATTATCTGAAAAAGTTGAAATGAGAAAAAAACAAAGTATAGCTTAAAAGCAGAAATAAGCTTAAATTACCAAAAGGAAGTGGAGAGGGCACATTTTTGTTGAATTAGGCTGAAAAAAGTTGACATGAGTGATAAAATGGGTAATTAGCTGAAAAAGCTAAAATTTGAATAAAACGGCTAAATATCTGCTGAAATAAAATGTGTGCCTCGATTAGAAATAATGTAAGACTTGTGGCACAATAATACGACATGGATGAAATTAGCAAGAAACTGATAGAGTTTAAAGAGTTTAAAACATTGATGAACAGCCAGCCCTCTTTGGACAGCTCAGACATACTCCACAGTGGAAAAATCATTTAATGTTTCAAAAGGTCACAGAAAGTTGTGGTGTTGTCGTCTTCAGGCCATGACCTTCAGTGTGTAATGTGGAAGTGCACTGCCGAGCGTGAAGCGGCAGGATTAAGAGTCAGCTCTTCTAAGTCCGAGGCCTTGGTGCAACTGAAAACAGGTGGAATATATCCTCAGAGAGCCGGAGAGGAGTCTGTGCCTCAGGTGGAGGAGTTTCAGTGGTGTCTTGTTCACAAGTTATTTAGGATGGACCAGGAGGTGGCTTTTTAGATCGGGGCCTCGTCCTCAGTAATGAGGGCGTTGCTTTTGATGGCTGTGGCAAAGCACACATGTTTATGTTTCTGCATTATTTTATTTATGGGATAAGTAAATAAAAATATGAGAAGATTTTTGTCAAATCTGGGAGGATTTGAGAAAAACTGCACATCCTATAACAGCAGGAGACACACTGGGCGAAAGACAACAACACATCTATCCATGCTAATGTACGATTTGTGTGTAGTTTAAAACGTTGAAAGTAAGAAGAGCTTGCTTTTAAAATGTAGAAGTTTAGGCAGCTCAAAAGTTAAAGTGTGACATCACTAACTGTTATTTGAACTTACTCTGTGTAAAAGTCTGTAAAAATTGTAAATCTAAATCTGCATTTGTGTAAAACCCCCCAATCTTCTGCTGCTCACAGTTCAATAATTTTTAGGATACACGTGCACTTTTTGCTGTGACTGTTTGAGCCTTACTTCAGAGAAGATGAGCATGTGATCAGGAGGTCACAGGTTCAAATCCTCTGGCCAACAACAAAAATTTTGGGGGAAAGGTGAATCATCCATATCTGCTTCCACCCTCAGCTGCCTCACTCTGCACCCTTTAACCCTAAATTGCTTCTCGAGTGCCTCGGATGGCAGCTCTCTGCTCCACACAGAGGGCTGTGGTAGCTCAGTGACCTGGGGTTGCATCAGGAAGGGCACCAGATGTAAAATCAATTGCCAAGTCTTAGTGCAAGTTTGCTCACTGTGGAGACCCCTGAAGAAGGGAGCAGCCAAAAGGAAAAAAAAAAAACAACAACTGTCTGAGCCTTACTTTTTAGTCTGTGTTTCTGTCTGCCTTTATTAAGGAGTGGATACAGAGATTCATTGTTACCATTATCACCACAGTGAGCGACAGCTTTAACATTTATTTTTTGGATCTTGGTTTTCTTTAACTTTTAATACAGTTCATACATTTTTGATGCTCATTAGTTTGATGTTCGGATTTTGACTGCACCCTCCAAAAATGTTCTTGCCTGCCCCTGTACACGCTGGAGCCGAAGTCACCTTGGGCAAACCTGCAGTCAGAGCGCAGCTGCATTCTCAGCTGTCTTCCTTCATCAAGCCGCTCTTCTAATAGATTTCCTCAAGAGATGCGCTCCATGCCGCCCGTGCTGCAGGATGCACCCGCCTCTGCAGAAGTTCAACTTGGGTCATCCAGCTCAGTCTGACCAAAACATATCCTACACCCCCCCCCCCCCCCCGCCCTTTTTATATATATATATATATATATTTTAATAGAAACACACTAAAAGAAGCCCAGCTGGGAGAAAACAGCTGGACATCATGATGCGCTGACGGGTTGCGCTCATCTGCACCAGAGGGAGCGCAGCTGGAGTCTGCAGTCAAAAACAAATATTTATGCGCGCTAACAACCCTCATTTTCCCCCTCTGCCATCCGGCACACGTGCACGGACACAATAAATAACCACAAACTGAGTTTCCTTGAGGTCAGAAACCCTCCAAACACAATCCACAGGCGTGTCCCCTGCATGGTGCGCAGGGTGACAGATCAGTGGAGTTCAGAGGAGCGTCTGGCACCGTGCGTGAATCCACTTGTGGTTTTCAGACCGCAGCAGCCTCCATTCATCAGAGCCCAGAGCCGCTTCACGCTGAGTGAACAGAGAAGCCGCTAAGCATGAAATATGACTTGCACCCCGGCGCGTGCGGAGACAATTCACTGTAATTACACGTATGGCGGCGATGGACCTGTAATCAGCTGAAAACATCCATCAAAGCCGCATATGTTCAGAAATAACTGATACAGCCACAGACAGGTGTACGATTGCACGCGCGCACGCACGGGCGCATTCACACCGATCACAACAGGTTTTCTCCCTCCCCCCCCTCTCTCTCTCTCTCTCTCTGCGGCCACGTGCGGGTGGTGATCACCTTCCTCACCTTTAACACGCACAGCCAGAGGTGACACGCGAAGGAGCCTTACCTGGCCGTGGAACTGCTGCCCGCCCCCCCTCCCTCGGTGTCAGGGTGCCCCCTCCCGTTAAAAAGCCGGCGGCAGAGAGGCTGAGGGCGCGCAGAAAAGCCGAGGTGCGTTCAGTCCGCGTGCACCCGTCCTGTCCTCTTCAGGAGTCCGTCCAGCAGGGATGGACATTCAGTCTCCACCAGGGCGTCATTCACACCGCTTCAGGTAGTTTGTTGGAAAAAAAAAAAAAAGTCAACTGGTTCGAATCTGTTTCAGCTGAAACGCAAACCCACATGAATCTCCTCACAGTCTGTGTCTCCACCCCCCACCCCCTCACATCTCACTGGTCAGCGCCATGTCTTGAGGATCCGGGCTGTTTGGATGGAGCGGTCTCCTCTCAGCTCCCAGACGCAGCCGCCCACGGGTCTGGGTCTGAGATGCTGCTGCCGGTGAGGCGGTGGTCTCTCAGAAAAATAAATAAATAAATAAATAAATAAATAAATAAAAGTTCAGCGGTGGATCAACAGCGCGGAGGATGAAGCATGCGCACGGACAGCAGACTACAGACTGAGGGGATCCTCCGCCGGTCCCGGTGCTTTTATCCCAGGCTGCTGCCCCCCAGGTGACAGAGTTAACCCATTTAATGAGTCCGCTGAGGGCGGGGCCACACTGGGCCACGGCTGCGGGCGCGCGGCAGTGGCTCCTCTCAGGTGTGTGTTTGTGGGGCGAGGAAGAGGCTGCGAGCTGGGATGGTTGGAGAAGAAGAAGCCTCTCTCCTGTGGCCGCGCGCATACGCGTGCGAGTGTTTTCATTTAGCCATTCTTAAGAGACACTTAAGTCCAATTATGGTGCTTAGGAAATGACATCAGCTGCAGCACTTAAATGATGCAGTGCCTTAACGCCCCCGCCCCCCTCCCGTTATCTTCTCCCCACCCATCCTGATCTTCATCGACTTCCTTAAGGATCCTCGTCTCAATTTTAGCCTCTAAAATCTTCTTTCCTTTAATTCTCTCATTCGTTTAACCCTTTCACACTAATTCTATAACATCAGCTCGACTGCAGTCCGAGCCTTGAGGATGAACTTCCCTGCTGCAGCTGCTGCAGCTGCTGCAGCTGCTGCTTTGGGTAAAAGCACCGAATTCATTGTTCTTATTCACACAAAGAGTTAAAGCATTTTGTTTGTGTGAAACAGTGTGATGGCTGCAGCATTTTCTGCTACAGCAGAGAGAACAAACAAGCTAAACTATTTTCTTCTAAATAAATAAACAAATAAATAAATACATCAAATGCAGCATGAAAGCTGAGAGCTGAATGACTTTGCTGAAATTTACAGAAGAAGCTGAAACGGAGTTGCTG